ATATTCCTAGATCAGAAAGATTATGCCCATTCAGTATTATCCCAAATATTAAATCCGAGTACCACTTTTCTTTAAAGTGTCCCTTTTATCATAATTTAAGATGTACACTTCTTCCAAAATATTATTGGAAATATTCAACTTCGAACAAGATGCGAGCATTATTTCTGTCAAAAGGTATAATCTTAAGATATATCTGTAAATTTCTTTTTTTAGCAGCCAAGAAAACACAAATGTTCGTTAAAGCTGTCCCTCATTTCTCATACATATATTTTGTAAAAGCTGTTATTCATGTATAAATACATTTTGTATAGTTGTTAGCCATTATTTCAAGCTCTCTGTATGCAGCAAATATCTGTACCACAATATCTGTATCATGGGCCTCTTTACGAATATAAAGACATATCAACTCACGTTTGTAGTGAAAACTACATGAAATGCGCGTGAATCATGAAATTGTGTACCACCCCGAGCTATAGGCTTTAAAAAAACACACGAACTGAATTCCACATGCATTGCTTTAAGCCACTATAGACGACAAAAGAATGCCAAGACTATCAGAAGCTCAAAGCCATCGGCCGTTTACAAGGAGGGGGGTCACAGCATGAGTGACAAGGCACTTCGGCGTGTCCAGGCAAATCATATCAAACCTATGGACCCAATACAGCGGTACTGGGTGTGTTAATGACAGGTCCAGGTCAGCTCGACCAAGAGTTACCACAGCCGCCCATGATCGCTACATCCGGTTGAGAAATCTTCGTTCACGCACTACGACCGCAACATCCACAAGAACCCAAATCCCCGGACTGCGCAAAATCTCGGGCCAGACAGTGCGCAATCGGCTACCGGAAGCCGGACTTTTTGCCAGAAGACCAGTTCGACGTAACGTGTTGACACAAGGTCACCGGGCTGAACGTCTATAATGGTGCAGACAACGAAAGATGGCCGCGGGCAAGATGGAGGACAATTTTGTTCTCAGACGAGTCTCGGTTTCTTCTGCTGATGGACGTTTACGTGTATACCTACAGACGTCGGAACGAACGTTACGCCGATAATTGTATACAGCAGGTCGATAGATTTTGTGATGAAAGTGTCATGGTGTGGGCAGGTACCCATCATAATGTCATGTGCACGTGGCAGGTGCATTGAATGGGGTCCGCTATAGAGACGAGATTTTCAAACGTCACGCCACTCCCATCATCAACGTCAACGGTGGATCTATCCAGCATGGCAATGCTCGAACTCAAGTTGCACGCGTTCGCCAGTACTCCCTCCAGCAAAACCACGTTCAGGTGTTACCATGGCTTTCTCGATCACCTGATTTGTCCCCCATTGAACATCACAACTAGGGGATACTCTTGATCGACGCTTGCGCCAGCGTAATCCGCCCCCAGCCCTCTCCCCCCACCCTCTCCCCCTCCATAGGAAATTTGTAAAGTGATGATTTTACTGTAATTAAGCAATGATATCATGTTTGAATCAGTTATATGCTCCCGGTAAATAAACTCCAAAAACGGCATGTCAAGTTTCTTTTTTGAAAAGTATATGTGAAACATAATAAAATAAAGAATTAGTGAGTGAGTGAAGTGAGTTTTACTTTACGAGCAAACACCAGGCTACCCTACTGCCCAAAGATACCATCTGGACCAGATTCTACGATACATCTGAGAGTGTTTATATCTGCTGCCTTTTCATGTAAAACTCATCAGATGTTATTTGATTATTAGGTTAAATGTTCATGACATCACCTTTATACACAGAATAAGCAATTACTTCTTTACAAAATTAAACATAGTCGCCGTTGTTCTCAGTGTCGTAAAATGTTAGGACCTGTTTGAGATATGCAATCCACAGGCTAACACTAATAGATTTCAGTTTCACTGTCTCTCATGTGAAATTTCACTTCTGGCGAAAGGTTTTAGCATTTCCATTGTCGTTACACTTACCAATAATTTCCTTTTCTCTAAATTAATCTCTTGTACGATTAGTCTATTTGTCTGCTATGAGAGTTCTTCTGTGTGTCAACGTCTCCATCAATCCTATTCGTACTCAATAGTTCGCACTTCTTAGTTGGCAGGATACGCTCACCTTTTCGCGAACACCTGGTCTCGTCATCGTATCTCCGTCACTGGATTGTCTGATCCAGGCTCGATAATACAATCGATTCTGTTGAAAGGATTTTGTCGTTTCTTATTCATTACTGAAAATTTGTCCGCATCATAAAATGTAAATGTGTATGTGTTGAAAATTTAGGCTTAAAACCCGTGTTATAATATAAATAATGTTGCTAAAATGTCAATAACGTTATTCTAATTGTAAATATTGTTATGTCTACAGTTTTGAATTGTAACTAATGTTCTAACTTCAGAATGTGTATGCGAAACTGGCGTGTGTTTATGATGGACTTGGGGATAATGTGTGAACTTGGTCACGTCTCTATATGGCTGACATGTAGCTGATGGGTCGTCAAATGTTAACTACTTCATTCACTCGAGGTGTTTCTTTGAGGGAGCACGTGTTTACGATTTGTGATGAGGACCAGAATTGCTACAGGTACCCTGCTTACATCAATGTGTCTATCGCTTTCCTTGAAATTAACGCTGAATAAATGACGAGGTGGGGGAGTATTGTCCAGTGTTCTCCCCTTTGCTCTATCATACAACAGCACAACAAATCTCTCAAGCTGATGAATCTGTGCATCAGCGATTTCAAGTGGTGGACAAAGCGAGGGAAATAAAGGTGCCTGTAAGTTCAGGAAAAGCGTTCTTTTCATGGGATGATCTCATACTTATTTTACTGATGTAGTCTATATGGCGGCCATTTTTCAAAATGGCTGCCAACTTTCCCATTTTCGGGTAGTCATGGTATAAATTGACTTCCTTAGACCTAACCGTTAAAGATAGAAAGACATGTTTAGATGGAAAATGATCAGCAATAACTTTCCTACAACTTGATATATGACGTATGAGAATTTGAAAATTTGAAAAGAACTTATGACAAAAATAGTAGAAATGATTTTTTTCTCTTTTTTCCCAAACATAATGAAAATTATAAAAAATCTGCCAGGCCTCTCGATCTTTATTTAATACGAAGGGTATAAGCTACAATCATGCCACATTTCATGCTTGTAACACAACGTGCACGATTCAGTGAAAACACTGCACTTATCCGCTGGGCTATATAAAACGGTTTAGTGGAAACGATTAAATGACTTTTCACCTTGATCAACGTTGCACTTGAACTACTGGGGTGCGGTGTTCATTGGCTATCGCTGCACTTGAACTGATAGGGCGAGAGCTTCATTGGCTATGGCGGCACTTGAACTGGTAGGGCGAGAGCTTCATTGGCTATGGCGGCACTTGAACTGGTAGGGCGAGATCTTTATTGGCTATCGCTGCAGTTGAATGGTAGGGTTAGATCTTCATTGGCTATAGCTGCACTTACACAAATAGCTTGTGGTCTTCATGCTCCAATACTGCACTTGAAGGATAGGATGAGATCTTCATTTACTATTGCAGGACTTGCTGTTAATGGGTTGAACGTTTGTTTCATTCAGCACACAGAGCCATGTGTAATGTGCAGCTAAATGCAAGTGTGTGTGTGTGTGCAGCTAAATGTATGTGTGTGTGTGTGTGTGTGTGTGTGTGTGTGTGTGTGTGTGTGTGTGTGTGTGTGTGTGTGTGTGTGTGTGAACGAGCTTGTGTACTCGTACTTGTCCCAACTGACTTTAAAGTGTAAGTCCACTGAGTTACCGTGGTTCAACAAGGATTTCCCATTCAAACAGAGTTTTGTGACTTCAACCAGAATCATTTCACGCCCTAATTACATGATTACATAACGCCAGACAGTGCACGACAGTTACGTTCTTAATGTGTGTTGCTACGACATAGTGAGGGTAGGACCACCAGCCACCATGGCGTCTTCAGCTGACTCTTTTGAAATGTATGGATAACTATCTGTAAAAATCTGATTTTTGCTTTAAGAGTAGGCGCCATCATGAAAGGATGGGAGTCTGGTCAGCACCACAACCTATAATCATTTCAGATACTATCGAAACGCATACCAAGAAAAATGGGACAAAAGAGAAACGCAATTTGATTCAGAATGGGGCAGTCAGTGTCTGTTGCTGTCATTCGGAGAACTAACAACCCAAAAAAGAGGAACCAGGACTCGAATAAGCCATTTCTGTCTGTCTGGATGCCATCCACGTTCTGGCTGCACTACATGAAAGGTTTGTAGTTGTTCCGACCGACAGGACATCAAACCAGTATACTTATTTAAGCGTCACTTAAGTAATTGTTTGATCAAAGGACTTTCCATAAATAATATAGCAAAATATGACACATGTAAGGCCAGTATGTTAAATGAGCCTATAAATTGCATGAACTATCACATGGGGACTGTCAACTTTTAGTTTGCCGCTAAAACCTGAAGACCTGTCCATTCTACTTTGTTGTGGATTTTATAGCTCCATTACAAGACATCCAAACTGGAATACATTGCTGGATCCAGCACATGTACCACCAAACATTCTGTCTACAGATCACCAGTAAACATTAAAACTATCCAAAAAAAGATTTCCCCTAATTTAACAGAAATTGTTTTAAATAATCAGAATTAAAACCAAGTGAATACTCAGATACTCAAAGGATTTGCCACTAAAATTTGTCTGCAATCTGCAGAACGCCGAGTGCAGTTCGGACAAAACATGCGAATTTGCATCTTTGCATACCATAATCCCGCATGAAAAAATCAATGGGGCTATTGTTACAAGCCTTGGTGAGAACAGGGGCAGGTACATGTCTATCTTCTAAGTTCAGGTCAGATTGTCAACGTTGAACGCAACTGCCATCCGAGGACACTGTCAAAGCATGCTCGACTTACCACGACGAACCGAACGTCATCCGACGTTGGGTCAACAGCTGCTTGAGCAGGGTTACAACATGACGCATCAGTGATATATTCGTGATGCGATTCCATTGTGTAACCTGTCCTTTGTTTTTGTGTTCTAGTCCCTCATCAGCTAGCCCGATGAATATGGAAACACAATTAGTCGCTCTTGTGAAGATGACTCGTGTAATGAACTGAACTGTAATGAAATTACTTTTCTCTTTTGTCCCATTTTTCTTGGTATGTGCTTCGATAATATAGGTAATAATGGTTATAGGTTGTGATGCTGGGTGAGCAGATACGTCCCATTTCATTTCCCTCAATGAACTGTTGTGGCAGTTCGTTTCCAATATAGTGTGGCTTTGGTGTATGGATCTGTCTGTGTCGCTTCAGCTGCATATATATCTCAACAGTTTAACTCGTGAAGATCCGGGTTAGAATTTGTATTCAGCATCCAATGCATGACGTAAGAGGCGACTAACGGGATCGGGTGGTCAGGTTCGCTGACTTGGTTGACACATATGTCATCGGTTCCCAATTGCACAGGTCGATGCTGATCACTGGATTAAAAGGTCCAGATTCCATTATACCTGGAATATTGCTGAGTGTGGCGTTAAACCAAATCCACAAACAAACAGTCCATACCTGTTAAAGGATGATCAAAGCTAAGATGGAACATGTCCACACTAAAGTGTGTCTTTCGTGTATGCATTACATTTTATGTTTGCATGAAAGTGGCAACAGAAAAGGGGCAGATGGCTATTTTACCATGAGCAAGTAATTTGGACTTTAACATTATTTCGGTCTCTTTAAAATGTGTCAGATTAGGATGTGAAGAACACCAAAGGTTCTGCAGGCCTAAGGTTTCATCATGTTTGGTGCTCACAAAGAAGGCCTGTCAAACAATGTTATTACATTTTATTGAAACTTTGGACAAAACAAAATAATAAGAGCACATAATAGATACAGAACTAGATTTGATATAATGATTAATAAAGGCACAATTTCACGTTTTTTCGACAATAGTTTGGCCTATATTATAGATATTGGGGCATATGCCCTCACTTTAGCTTCCTATTGATGCAATAAAAGACTTATTATCTCTTACGACTTGCCTGAAATCGATAATTGAAACTTCGAGGCAAACAGCTTCCAAACAGAAAACACTTGCCATATATGGAATGTAAACGATTTCTCCGTACATCAAAAACTGTCGCACGCGGTGTTGTCGGTGTTTGCCGAACTGGTTATGTTATGCGTAGGATATTCGTAAAGAGCGCTCCAAAGGACATAACTCCATGGGTTTCGCTTGAAATAGTGTTCGTCCGGCAGAGGGCGCGAGAGTCGATTAATGCAATGTTGCATTAATTCATTCGAACTTTTTTATTTAATAGTGAACGAAATATTTGTGTTAATAAATTATATGGTAGCTTGCCTGAGGGCTGATAGTTAGCATTATTAAGAGAAATGCATTATGTATTTTTAGAGAAATGTGGTATGACATTGCACCTTTAAAGACAATTCGATAAGCGAGGATGTCAAGCTAACTCGATATGATAACAGATACTAATGATTACTTTGACACACCTATGTACAGGACTGGAACTCGACGTGTGACGACGATGAATCTGGATCAACTCGATGACGTTATTGTGGACATGACTCAGGCTTGAGTGAAATTTTTGGACAAAACCTCCATGATCAGTAAGACTGCTATATTCGCTAGAAAGGTATTTTACATCCTAAATTGGACCTCTACTGTGTAAGGAAAAGGTTTCTGGTTCAACCCATAGGTACAATCCATGGTGTACTCTTTCACATCTTTAGGCTTGACAAAGGTACATCTCTGAAGGAAACCTGAAATGATTAGGAAGAGCTCTATCCTTGCTAGGAATTCCCCCAAGCATCGTCGACGTCCTGCTGAGAAAGGAAGGTACGTGTCCAGGAGACGAGTGTCGATCTGACCATCCTCCTTCAGGAAACGCTCTGGTCGGAATACTTCAGGGTCCCCCCAGACCTCCGGATCATGACTCAATGAAAATAGATTGAGAAACACAAGAGTATCCTTCTTGATGGTGTAACCAGCCAGTTCGACATCCTCAGTCGTTGCGTGGGGTGTGGACAATGGTGTGAGGTTGATGATTCTCAGAATCTCATGAATGGTTGCTTCGGTGTACACCATGTTACGTCTATCAGCCAATGTTGGGCGTCTGGACATACCTACGACATTGTCAATTTCCTCCTGAATTTTCTTTTGGACTCGTGGTGTCTTTGCAAGTAGAAGCATTGTCCACATAGTCGTAGTAGCCACTGTATCGAACCCAGCAGCAAACAGATCTCCGATCGTGTCCTGAAGCCGTTCTTCACTCATACCATTTGCCTTGTCCGTTTCTGTAAGCTGTTTTGACTCATTGATAAGACTGTCTGTGACATCCCGGAGATTATCAGAGGAGAATGTTTCCAGGTGGTCCCGAATTCTCTTTCTGCGGATGAGATGTCCCTTGGATAGAAGATCTTTAAACTGCTTTACTCTCTTCTTCATAAAGTGCCTCAACCATGGGAAAATATCAACTGGATTCCCAGCAGTAACAAATGTAGAGAAGTCTTGAGTGTGTAGAATGTACTCGCAAAAGTCCTTGTCTGCTCTGACGTTGCCTTTCCTTCCGTAACATATCTGATATATCACACTGCCCATTGCAATGTAAATGTGATCGTGTGGATCAAAGGCCTGGCCGTTGTATCCTTCGAACTCCTCCAAAATATTACTGACCTCCTCGCATATAATTTCTTCAACAGGATTCTTTCTTGCGTTTGCAAATTCTTGGAAGGATTTATTTGCTATACGCCTATGCAGTTTCCAGGACATGTCGAATTTTCCAAAAGATAAACTTTTGCCATTTTGAACGGAAACTGACGAGAAGAACTGTGGTCGACCAGAAAAAGCATCACCCTTGGTACAAAGTGCCTCCTTGATGAGCTTCCCGTGAATCACTACTGTTGGCCATGCTCCAAACTGTAATTTGATGAGATCTCCATAGATCTTTCTCATCTTCATAAAAGTCTGATATGGTGTTTTACCGAGAAAAGGCAGATGGCCTACAATAGGTAGTCCCCAGGGACCAGGGGGAGATTTGGTCCCATACATTAACCTGTGTAGAAATGTCAGTATTGACGCGGATGCCAAGAAGACAACTCCGGCATATCCAAGGGTAGATATTTCACGGACATACTTGCAAATGTCGCCCACATACATCTGAAGAACAGCAACGGTTGACATCCTGAAAGTAGACAAAGATTCATTTTAATGATTTGTTCGATGTTAAGCGTTCATTCTTAACCTCATTCCACCTGTATTGCAGTGGACCAGACAAACCAGTGATCTTTTATTGGAGCAACGTCCAACTCTAACGGTGGACGCTTACACGCGACTAACCGAACCAGACTACCCAATCCACTCTGTCAATTTTTGCACGACAAGAATAGGTTTTGTTTTTCAGTCCGAACCCCCACTGAACGGGATGTTCTAACATATTCAGCTGTATGTGGTTGGTTTGATGCTGGTTTGATCAAACAACATGCTATCATGGTTTCTTAGTTATTATCATAAATTATTAGCTGAATATGAAAGTGGATGTTGAAGTTATGTGTGTCATCATGGTGTCCAACACGCCATCTGGTGTCCGAGCAACATGTTCACATGTTCACCAAACAACATGCCATCATGGTTACCAAACAACATGCCACCATGGATACCAAACACGCTACCATGCTGACCAAACAAGATTCCACCATGGTGTTCAAACAATATGCCATCAAGTTGACAAAACGCCATGCTTTCATGGTGTCCAAACAACACGCCATCGTGGTGTCCAAACAGAACCCCATCATGGTGACCAAACAACATGCAATCATGGTGACCAAACAACATGTCATCATGGTGACTAAACAACATGCCACAATGATGACCAAACAACATGCCACAATGGTGACCAAACACCACGCCATCATGGTGACCAAACACCACACCATTATGGTGACCAAACACCACACCATTATGGTGACCAAACACCACACCATTATGATGACCAAACACCATGCCACCATCATGGTGACCAAACAACATGCCACAATGGTGACCAAACACCACGCCATAATGGTGACCAAACACCACACCATCATGTGACCAAAAACCATGCCACAATGGTGACCAAACACCATGCCATAATGGTGACCAAACACCACGCCATTATGGTGACCAAACACCACACCATTATGGTGACCAAACACCACGCCATCATGTGACCAAACACCACGCCATCATGGTGACCAAACACCACGCCATCATGGTGACCAAACACCACACCATTATGGTAACCAAACACCACGCCATCATGGTGACCAAACAGCATGCCATCATGGTGACCAAACACCACACCATCATGGTGACCAAACACCACACCATTATGGTGACCAAACACCACGCCATCATGGTGACCAAACTCCACGCCATCATGGTGGCCAAACACCACACCATTACGCCGACCAAACACCACGCCATTATGGTGACCAAACACCACACCATTATGGTGACCAAACACCACGCCATCATGGTGACCAAACACCACGCCATCATGGTGACCAAACACCACGCCATCATGGTGACCAAACACCACACCATTATGGTAACCAAACACCACGCCATCATGGTGACCAAACACCACACCATCATGGTGACCAAACAGCATGCCACAATTGTGACCAAACACCACGCCATTATGGTGACAAAACACCACGCCATCATGGTGACCAAACAGCATGCCATCATGGTGACCAAACACCACACCATCATGGTGACCAAACACCACACCATTATGGTGACCAAACACCACGCCATCATGGTGACCAAACACCACGCCATCATGGTGGCCAAACACCACACCATTACGCCGACCAAACACCACGCCATTATGGTGACCAAACACCACACCATTATGGTGACCAAACACCACGCCATCATGGTGACCAAACACCACGCCATCATGGTGACCAAACACCACGCCATCATGGTGACCAAACACCACACCATTATGGTAACCAAACACCACGCCATCATGGTGACCAAACACCACACCATCATGGTGACCAAACAGCATGCCACAATTGTGACCAAACACCACGCCATTATGGTGACAAAACACCACACCATCATGGTGACCAAACAGCATGCTATCATGGTGACCAAACACCACACCATTATGGTGACCAAACACCACACCATTATGGTGACCAAACACCACGCCATAATGAAGACCAAACACCACGCCATCATGGTGACCAAGCACCATGCCATCATGGTGACCAAACACCACGCCATCATGGTGACCAAACACCACGCCATCATGGTGACCAAACAGCATGCTATCATGGTGACTAACCACCACGCCAGCATTATTACCGAACACCATAGTATCATACAACACATAATCACAAAATTCAAGCACAATGAACTGTCGAGACGATGTTTCATATATATGTTTAAATATATATGCTGGGCAGATGAGTCTTACATAGCTTCAAAAGATTTTAAGTAAAAGGCTTGTTGTCGGCAAACAATATGTTTTCAAGATATAGGTGAAACCACACAATACCCGACTGTCTCTATCGCTGTAAAGCGGCCTTCACGCGGCAAACTAAAGTTTGACAACACATGTTGAGTTTGAGAGCGTAAATATTCCAACAACTCGCCACCAACACCAATTTCAGAGTTGTCAAAGTGTTGTCGAGAAACAGAATCGGTCTCTATTCTCGCCAAATTTTCCATCAAACTTTCGGTGGTGTCAAAGTCGAGTTTGTCGTGTGAAGTGTTGTCACCCTCGTGTTGTTCAGAAACAACCAATCGCATTCAACGAAATTGTCATGTGACCGCACCGATAGAGACATGGCGCTCAAAATGACATGAAAGTTTGACAACATGTGTTTGACAGGTGAAAACGCGAGTTTGACAACTTTAAAAATTTCAACAACATGTGTTGTCAAACTTTAGTTTGCTGTGTGAAGGCCGCTTAACATTAAGTAAACTAATAAGTCGGTCTCATTCCGCAGTTCATGATGGAAAGATGAGGATGCTTTTCAAACTGAGCTATGAGACAACAGCGTTGGACAAGTAAGTATATACTTCGTGACTATTTCAAAATCGCTTTAACAATTCGTTGGGAAAGCGCGATGCGTTTTGTTTTCGCTACCTTAACTGATGCTGACTCGGACTCCATTAAATGAAATATTCTCAAATAAACAAAGAACTAAGACGACATAGAAACATGCAATAACTTCAGGTCTTTCTATACTGAATACAGTAAAACATTCAGAGAAGAGGCGTGCTATCAATGAGATAGTTAATGATTGCTTGTCATTGATGAGAACATAACTACTATCACACTGCTTTGTGGTACTTCTATTCGTCATGGATCTGCACCTTAGGTATAACTATAAATCAATAATTCAATAATTTATATTCAATGCCAATTATGAAAGATGAAATTAAGGGAAACAGGTAATAGCCCCCGGGTAATAAGGTTGCTTAATATAAACTGGATGCTATATTGATCTGCACCTTAGTGATTACTTCAATTCAATAATTAAAAAAAATGTATTACGTTCCAGTAAGTAAATAGGTAATAGACAAGGTAATAAGGTAGCTCAATATAAACGGGAAGCTACAACACTGACTGACTGACTGAGTTTAGTTTTACGCCGCTTTTAGCAATATTCCAGCAATATCACAGCGAGGGACACCAGAAATGGGCTTCACACATTGTGCCCATGTGGGGAATCGAACCCGGGTCTTCGGCTTTAACCACTAGGCTACCCCACCGCCCACGGAAGCTACAACAGGTAATGTTGAGCACACAAAGTATACTTCGTGATCGAAACATCTGAACTATCAGAATGTACAGGGCCAATGGCAAGGTACTGTGAAATACAAAGAATAGTCTACCCAATTATCCTTGTGTGGGGTAAAACGAAAAAACGAAACGAAAATTTGTCTGATGTGTTGTGCAGACGCCAGACCAAATGCTGTATTGCCGAAGGCTGAAGGTGTATCCAGTGCTAAGTAGATTGTGACGAATAAAAAGAACCTTCCATTATCAGTGGTGCGTAAACACGAGGGAGTGCGATCGTACATGATAAGATTTGGGCTGGTTGGGCTAGTTAAACTAGACATCACCTTTTCTGCGTCAAATAATCACGTTACTCTGTTACCTAACCATCAACAATATGTGTATTTATAATGCGCTGAATTCAATGGAGGGAGACATTTTGAGTTCAGTCGGGAGTTGATTCCACAACTGTGGAGCACCATAGCTGAAGCAGCGAAACCCGAATGCCCGGAGTTTCTGTCTGGGAATGGTGAGACGGTGTCTATCTGCCGATCTTAACATTCTGGAAGGATTGTGCTTGGGGACTAGCTCAACAAGGTAGTCTGGAGCCGTAAGATGGTAACACTGGTAGGCAAGACTCAGGACCTTGAATTCAATTCTGGCTCTGATTGGTAGCCAGTGAAGAGACTTAAGAACAGGCATCATGATGACAATTTACATTAAATAGCTGACATTTTCCTGAAGTTGGTCAAATGAGTACAAGATGTCAGATATGAATACACAATTACATTTGAAAAGTGGTCAAATGTAACACATATATATATTTGGGATTACGCATTCACGTACTTGTTCAGTCCCATCCGGAATTCGACCTTACACTCTCAGAGCCAGGCACCAAATCGCCAGCACACAAAGTCAGCCATCTACCCTTTTCAGTCACTGTAGCTTCCACAAAAATGGAAGTCTAGACCACCTACTTTGTGTGGCTAGACTTGCACGGCCCAAAAAAGTGTGTTCGAAGCCAGGATAGGACTCAACCTAACTAAAGTACTAGAATCTGTAATTTACTGAGAAAGGGTAATCCCAAATATAACATATGTAACATCTCATCATGTTGCCTTGTAAACCTTACCTGACATTAAGCCTTATATCGTTTCGCTTAAGAAAATGAAAAATATTGAGGAAGCTTCAAATAATAAGTAAGACCCTAGCCAGTCCTAGTGAGTGAGTTTTGGTTGGTGCCGCTTAAAGCAATATTCCAGTAATATCACAGTGGCTAACACAAGACATCGACATCACTTACTGTACATATTTGAGGAATCGAACCCGGGTCTTCAGCGTGATAAGCGAACGCCTTGGATTAAGAGCAACAAAAATGACGTCTCCACAAGGCTGTATCACAAACATACTCCACTTTCTACTTTCCAGTCGTCAACTTAAATTCACGTCGGGCAATATTCCAGCAGCTTACATTTCACACGTTTTGAGGTACATTCGAGCATGCTTTTTCACCATAACTTCAAAAAGCGTCTTACGTCTCCTACTCAGAAGTTGTGACAACATGCAAGGCCTGAGTAAAGCTTTCAAAAGGTTTTATGGTAGATACGTGCAGCACATTTCAACATGTGATGCATTAGTGACAAAAATGATGTCCGATGCAATTCCTTATTTTGACTTATTCCATACGTTCCCGAACTGGCTCAGGTGAACAACTGGCTAGACTTTGCATATGTTAATGACGGGCGCCACCGTCGGGGCAGGATACGCTCATCGTTTCGAAAACACCTGGTATCATCACTCCGTGACAGTGATTCGTAAACACATGTTCTGTCATCGTACCACAATCACTGGATTGTCTTGTCCAGACTTGATTGATTACAGACCGCGTTTAAAGCTGCAATACTGCTGAATAAGGCGTCACACAAACGCATCCTCATGATATAATCGGAATTGAACAATCGAATCTGCCTTCAACAGAGATTTCGCATGCTTGTGGATATGGTTTTGTTGTTTCTGTGAACCTCTTTGCTACCTTACCACCCACTAGCCAAAAGAGAACGTGCTTTGGTGCCTTTGGCTCGAGATGGTGTTCACTCAGGCGTGACGAATACTTTCTGGATCACGATATATTGTCTTCACCAGAAATGGGACTACCTGACGGATGCTATCAAGGAGGTTCATGACCGGGAAGGCTAAAATCGCGACGTTTTCATAGATACATTAAATATATTTACTTAGCTCATAAATAATTGTGTAATTTCTTTCCGTAACTTTACAGAGGAGCCAATTCTTAGTAATACAATTTGGATTATAGTATTATACCAGATACATGACAAACCACAATCATCTAAAGTAGTTTTAACATAATGTGGCCAAGCTGGCTGGTATCAGTACAATTGTTAACTGCTACTAATTCAGCGCACATTTTACATGTAAGTTTATTTTGGTTTTCATTCTTTAATTTTTTTCACCAATAGGATAAGACTCTTTTTTAAATAATCATACTGAGTAACACAAAGGCTGGCGTCCCGTCTCGCCGTATTAATACATGTAAGCCGAGGTATGTTTACGTAAATGAAAAACCTTTTTAATAAATAACCTATGAACTAAAGCTAACTTTCAAACTTACTAGGGCCCCATACCTCACACGTATATAATAATAGTAAGTGGTAAGTCTACATTTGTTGCTTTAGCTAGCAAGCAAAACATTGCATTCAGGCCTTGTTCTCTTGGAGATGTAATGGCAGTGTTATATTTCCGATTCTTATGCATCAAATACAAATATTTTAGTCTATTCAATATTTAATCTTTTAACTTCCACTTTATACAACATTCACTAAAGCAATGTTCTGGAAAAAGATTATCCCGAGATTAACTCCGGATACTTTGAAGATGTTCCCCTACTTTTGTGAAGAGTATATAGTTAATCCTAGTATATAGTAAATCCTAGTATATAGTAAATCCTAGTATAAAGTAAATCCTAGTATATAGTAAATCCTAGTATAAAGTAAATCCTAATATATAGTAAATCCTAGTATATAGTAAAGCTTGGTATATAGTAAATCCTAGTATAAAGTAAAGCCTGGTATATAGTAAATCCTAGTATATAGTAAATCCTAGTATAAAGTACATCCTAGTATATAGTAAATCCTAGTATATAGTAAATCCTAGTTTTCCCGTTGAATATTGCCCATAAAAGTCGATTAAGGACAGTTTCGAACAACTCTCTCACGACTTCACTACTTCGTTGTAACTAACATGTGCTTTGGAATGAAGCGTCAGACGTGTAGATGCCTTCAGGGAACATAGTGTCTAAGGAGTATGGCTCAGCTGAAGACGAATATCTCTCCCTATATGTACATTCAATTAATATGGGCGGTGAGGTAGCCTTGTGGGTAAAACGATGGCTCGTCACGCCGAAGACCTTGGTTCGATTCCCCACAGGGATACAATATGTGAAGCCCAATTCTGGTGTGCCCCGCCGTGATATTGCTGGAATATTGCTAAAAGCGGCGTAAAACTAGACTCACCCACTCACTTCAACTTACAGTGGTATTAGAAAAATGCAATAATGTATCTTTCAATCACAATAAAAATGGTGAAACATATTTGGTAAAAAGTGTTATGCCATAACAGTGTGCCAGTACTATTAGGAATGCATGTAAGGACATCTTAAATGCAATGAATTTGAGAAATGTAACATTGAAATAAATTAGTAGCACAGCTGAGATAATATACTATAGGCCTATAGCCTCATCAGCCTTGAATGATTAATGTTGACAGACCGAAAGGCGTGATAACATGTTACTCCATCTACGCTAGATCTTTTAAGAAAAAGGTTAAAAAGTGTCATGACAATCCCATCCATTTTGCCGAACCCTTACGAACTTACACATATGACCCGGATGTCTCAACTAGGATTGATGTCAAGTTGTTTTTTTATGATGAGGAACACAACGCTGTGGAATGTATGCTTACTCCACCAACAGGTGAATGAACCCCTGAATGCAGGGACCTGGCATATACGTTCATTAAGAACAAAACAAGATCTGAGATCGGATAGGAGGGACACTGGCACGGGAAGCGACTGACTGACTGAGTTTGGTTTTACGCCGCTTTTAGCAATATTCCAGCAACATCACGGCGGGGGACACCAGAAATGGGCTTCACACATTGTACCTATGTGGGGATTCGAACCCGGGTCTTCGACGTGACGAGCCAACGCTTTAACCATTAGGCTACCCCACCGCCCCGCGACGGGAAGCGAACATTTACCTACAGTAGATGACCATAAGTGAGTCACCATAAGTGAAATTCCCACAGACTTGCATGCTAATTAAAACTTGCACGAATAGTTTTCATAAATTTAGTTTCGCTCGAATTGTTTTCAATACTTATCTACCAGCTGGGAAATCATCTCAGCTACATACACATGATTTCCATTCAATTTTCCGATGGTTATAAAGAAAACTGTAACTATTTAAACAACATATATTAGACATACCAATCAGGTTTAACATGGCTGTCTATGGGATAGATTAAAATTAAGTTGTACTTATGGTGCTTAATCAGGTTTCATTCGATAACTAATCAACGGAAAGATGAAAGAAAAATTATGTACACGTAGCTGAAGATGATTTCCAAGATGTTTGGAAAATATCAAACTAAAATGACTCAGTTTATGAAAGTCATTCTTGCAACAGTTAATTAACATGTAAGTCTCTGGAAATTTCACTAATGATGACTCACTTATGGCTAATCACTGTACGCAGGTTGGTGATTAGCAATAGGCATATAGAAGCCAGTGTTTTTATAAACACTGACTGTTAATTAGTAGTGAGGGAGTTTAATATTACGCAGGTTTAGCAATATTCCAGCAATATCACGCCGGGTGAGACCAGTCACGGGCTTCACACATTGTACTCATGTAGAGATTCGAACCACGACCACGTGGGGACTGGCATAACTTGTCACCACTTACGTTTTGTTGGCACATTTGAATGTATCAGGGGCGGCCGGGTAGCCTAGTGGTTAAAGCGTTGGCTCGTCACGCCGAAGACCCGGGTTCGAATCCCCACATGGGTACAATGTGTGAAGCCCATTTCTGGTGTCCCCCGCCGTGATGTTGCTGGAATATTGCTAAAAGCGGCGTAAAACCAAACTCAGTCAGTCAGTCAGTTGAATGTATCAACACATAAAACGCTAAACAAGCTGAATGCCAGTGAAGGAGTGATGCGGTCAGTCAGTACTGGACAGAAATAGTAACAGGTCAAATATTAGTGCAGGGCCTTATGTAGCAAAAATGCTTCCCGTGGGAAGTGCATGTTAATTTTTGGAACCACTGATAATTGTGATCAGTATTGCAGATGGATTCAGAAAAAAACATGGTTCCATTTTTTCTGATGATTATAAGCGTCATTTTGGGGGTAACTGAACATCTGTACCCATAATCGAGCTGCAACACCAATGTGAGAAAAACATATTTTTATAAACCTAGCACAACATAAGCATGTAGTATGTCAAAATGTACCTTGTGATCGGTGTTTTACAACTGCCATTATATATCATGAATCTCAATAATATATGTATACATAATAATCACTATGATCATAAGTGCTTCTGCCAAAGCCGAAGGTTTGTTGCAGAGGGTATGCATTCAACGCTGTTTGTGTGTGTGAGTATTTATGTGTTAGCATCTTTACTCAAATACTACTAGATGGATTTAAATGAAACTTTCTGGTTCTCTTGGGTATGTCCCCAGGACAAATCAATTAGATGTTGAAAATGTACACTCTTCAAGAAAAGAAACTCAAAAGCAAAATATTGAAAACAAAAATTGGTCTTATTCAATTATGTAAATCAACAAAATAATAAACGGTACAGCATTGAAATGATCTAGCAATACATCGGTATCTTGTGCACATTTCACAAGAATGACAGTCATCATAGTCATTACTGCTGTCCACGAGCTGACGTTGGCGTTACTGCCTTGTATGGCCACCTCTTACTGCTAGAATTGCACGACACCTCCTTGACACAGATTGAATCAGTTGTTGGATTTTTCGTTGTGGAATATTCCATTCCTCCTGCAGTATGTTGAACTGTTAAAGCCTCAATGACGTACGTTGACGTACACATTTATCTATCTGATCCCACATGTAATCAATTGGTTTTAGATCCGGGGATCTGGAGGGCCAGGGGAGGACATTGATGTTGTTATTGTCCAGGTAGTCCACTGTAGCACATGCTGTGTCAGGTCTGGCGTTGTCCTGGTGGTACAGCTCCCTGTGGCGGTCGACAAGACGAGGCACGTGAGGACAGAGAATCTGGTCGGTATATCCCGCGGCCGTAAGATTGCCTTGGATGAGCACCAATTCCGATCTGCAGGTGTATGAAATGGCTCCCCACATCATCACACCATCTTCACCTGCCTGATGCAGTTGGATGCAAAACGTTCATTGCGTGGTCTGTAGACACGTTGTCTTCTGTCACGTCGCTTGAGGGGATACCACGATTCATCATTGAACCATATGTGCCTCCAGTTTCTAAGGATCCGTGGCTGCACCCGCGTTACACCACCTGACTCACGGACGTTGATGTAATCGTGTCAGAGAGGGGCAACTTGCGGACGTCTGGCACGCATACCTACCTCTCGGAGACGGTTCCTGATTGTCTGGTCGGACATTCTCCGGGCTCCAAACCGTTTTTGTGCTGTGTCCCGGGCGGAATGATGGCAGTCACGTATGTGCGTTACCCGGTGACTCACGGTCTTCCTGGTCTTGGATGGAATGGAATGCACAAAACGATCCCACAAACGAGTTATTGTGCTGGGATGAATGCTGAAGGTCCTCGCCACGTCACTGTTGGATTCGCCAGCTTGTCATCGTCCAATGGCAATATTTCGGTTGGCACCGTTGAGACGTCCCATTTTCTCATCCAATATTTGCAAGGGTCTTGGATGAATTTGCGAGATGCATTTGGGTCTTTCATAGTTATAGTTTGCACGCGAAAAGGAATTATTGCGGCTTTTGGTTGTGTCCCGTGCCAGTCAAGCTCATCATGACAATCATGATCGATAAAGCCATTCAAAATCGTTTATGGTTGCATTCGTTGACGCATGTTCTTCTAAACCATACCAACAACAATATTCAACCCTCAAAACATGCTTAATGTGACATTTGCGTACCAACTTTCTTTTTTTCAAATTTTGTTTTGCGTTTCTTTTTTGTTTTGAAGAGTGTATGTTAAAGTACATGTACACAGAGGTACTTCGAAAATAATTGCTATGTTAAATAAATGTAGAATATGAATAATGACTAAAAAAGTTATGGATGGATTTGAATGAATCTTGGTGGTTATGTTAGGTATGATACAAGAGCTATCTGCGTACGGTTTGGTGAAAGTACATTAAAGTACAAGTACACAGTAGTACTTTAAATATGTAACAGTGAAAGGAAATTGCTGTGCAAGGCGGAGGCATGTTCTCTCTAGTTTCCAAAATAGGAAAACCAAAGAATTCATACTTGTGTTTGTATGACAAATAATGTCGAAGCTTGTATTTCAACAGCATATTTTGTTCTTGCAGGTTAATGACGGATTGATTGACTATGCATGTTACTTAAAGGTCATATGCAACGTAAAACACCGCTTAGCAGATTCTGATATGGACTTACGGTAACAAATGATCAAAAATGCAAATTCAACTTATAAAGTTGAAAAATAACGCGATGAAAAAAAACCCGCGAAATCGGAGTTCAAACGAATGACTAAATTCACCCCAGCTGGGGTGAAAAGTGGTTTCAACAGCGCATGCTCATTGAATACGTTCGCGCGGCTTGAACCGGGATGCCAAAACACACAAAGAGCCCTGAGGGTTTCGGCAGTTAAACCAGCCAATGAAAGACTTCGTTACACTTGAGTGCACACCCAACCGCTCTGCCTGGGTTCGGTATGCCTGGTGATTCGTTTCGAGGGAAGTAAACCTAAGTTCACAATATGACACTTTTGGTTTGCGATTGTACGCTTATAATTTTGTTTATTAGTTTTTTCATAATCAGCAATGTATATTATATGTCATGAATAAGTGATAATTGTGTTTTAGTTATGTTTGTTTTTTTGGTTGTATGTGACCTTTAACAATGTAAAAGTTAAAATAAATATATTAGTGCACATTATACATTGTACTTGCATACCCCACTTATAATATGTAGTTATCTGTTTACTGCGATATAATTTGTCACTCATGTAATAATACATTCAGTTTGTATTGACAGCAGATTTGTAACAAAGTAAGGAACCACAAAGAGGTAGAGATGGATTAATTCTTGTTTAATTCGTCACATCAGCAGCGGCTTGGCAGTCGGGCGGCTGGGACAGTCCTGGCCTGTTTGCTGAGATCAGCTGGTGTTGTTGCTGTCTCTGCTGCTGTCTCGTTCCCTCTGCTGCTGCCGTCCAGATCTCTCTCTGTCTCCTCTCTGCTTTCTGTCTGGCCGCCTTCCCTTATATACCCCCTTGGTCAAGATTAATGGTTCATCCATCTGTATCCCAAAGGCTGTGCAACCAGATGTCAGAAACGTCAGTGTTAATTCCTCATGGATTATTTTTATCACCGGTCACAGGTAGTGTCCAAGCATTAAAGTGTCATTGCCATTGTGGTGGACCACTTCATATTGATTTGTTGACACCCTCAGGGGCTGACCATGGATTGACCTGGGGCTAACCGAGGGAGGCGGCCATCAACTATGTTACATTCGCCCCAATGTAACTAAGAACGTTTCCTCGAAAATTTCGTCCGTTTATTACTTGTGTCGTCTAGTCTTCTACTTGTGTCGACTAGTCTTCTGCTTGTACTTGCGTTTTGTCTTCACATGGCGTCACTACTGGTTAATAACGAGTTCCAGTCTTACCACTGTCTATTTACACTGAGTAGACAATGTCCGTCTACTCGTTGGTCGATTTTGACCGCTAGCGTGGATCAAGTCTGCTGGTGTCCAGGCTTGGCTAGAGGATCTTCACAGCTGGGGCCGCTGTAGGTGTTGTCACTGCACCATACGAGTCAGGAGGAGGGACGGAGGGTGCAGTGACACACACCTCCCGATAGGATAGGCACATACTCAAAGTCTGGAGCAACCCGGGTGTTTCTTGCTCGCTTGAACATTTTGGCTAGCCAGGGTTTAAACTTAATGTACATAATGTTCCTGTTATAACTAAAATAACCCCTACTATTCCCACTACTATAATTGTTTTCTTGTAAGCCTTTCTGCCCTCTTTCAACTTAGTATACCAGAGTTTCCAATTGATTAATCAAACTATCCATGGGGATCGGATTGATATTATCAAGATGCTTGGGTAATTCACTTAATGTCACCAAATTGAAACAAGGAGCATATTATGTGGTTATCTCTATGTCATACATCATAAGCTGCATTTTGACATGCTACATGACTATGTTGTGATAGGTTTATGAAAACATGTTTTTCTCGAAATGGTGTCGCAAGCAATTTTGGGAACTCATATTCCATCACCCAACAATGACACTTATAGCAAACAGAATAAATGGAACCATGTTTTTCCTGAATCCATACACAACAGTGATTACAATTAGTATTGGTTCCAAAAATTAACACGAAATTACACAAGCCCCTGCACTATATATGGCACTTCATTGAAGAATTAAGTTACGTTTCTTAAGATTTATGTTGATTACAGGGTTTTGCCCACAGATAATAATGCATGTTCTGCCTGCTATTGTGATGTAAAGGGAAAACAAAATGTAGTGGACAGAATCTTTGCACTGCTGACAACTGAGACAGTTGACAATAGATGCCGGGCAAACTTGCTTCAACTTACATCACACCTGAGGCAAGCGATCTGACAAAAGTTCCAAAATAAACATCAAAGTAGAAGCTTTATTAAGACTTTATGTTTTAAAACGCGTTTAGTAATTGCTATTTTCGTCCGGTAACAAGTTCCATTGTCTTTAAGAAGAAATAAAGGGCTCAGTATAACATAGCATAACATGTCGTCTTGCAGGTGATTGGTTCTTCATGTGCAATATTGAACAAACTTTAAGGATAACAATTTCCTGCTTGACAACGGTATAAAGAATCTGTATCGAAACGGCGCACTCACGAAAAGAAGTTGTTATCCATAAAGTTTGTTTAACATTGTACGTCCATACTTCTAAAATGCCACTCAAAGCAATTCATAATTTTCGTCTTTCCCAGTCATGAAATTTTCATGCTATTGCACTAGGTTATTCTCCCACAAGGTTTCAAATCCCTTCACCCACGTGCTTTAAATACACAACGAATTGAGTGAGTATGGGCTTTATCGTTACATTTGCCATTAACACGCAGTTTAATTATAAGCGTTTGGCTATTTTATAATATTCAGCAATAATCAAGCTATATGTCGACGGTCTCCAGATGTTCGAGTCTGGACCAAACATATATCCAGTGATCAGCAGAATGAGCATCGATCTACGAAAATGGACCAAACATATGTCAACCAAGTCAGCGAGCCTGACCACCCGATCCCGTTAGTCGCCACCTACGACAAGCACATTTTGCTAAGACTAATTCTAACGGGATCTTTAGGGGCACAGTTTATAATTAGGTGTTACAATGACACAGAACAAGTCATGTGGAATGTTCAGAAATTACGGGGTCGCTCTCACACCGACAGGTTGACCGGCATGATGTTTTCTACATGAAGAAGCAAATGGGTAAAACTCACACTTGATGAAATCTTTGGATAATTTAGCCGATTGCACACCAGGCAGAAGCGATCATAAGGAAGGATTATTGAAGAATTTGGAGGCCTTCTTCAGTTAGTTCTCAGCCCAAGTGTTTCCCAAATTTTACCATGGGAACCGTTCATCCAGTCTGTGTGAAACGTGGGTCATACGAAATTTCAATACAAATGGAGAGCATTACCATGAGACACCTGATCGAACAATTATCTATTCCGAAAAACATAAAACTTGCTGATGAGACAGTAAAGTGGAAGTATTTTGTGGGATTCATTGTTGTTATTATCGTAACTATACTATGCACGGTTTTATATACAAAAGATTAATGAAACCCTGGCTGGCGAAATAGAAAAGCGATAAGAACATTGATTCGGTGACTACTAAGAGTGAGTGAGTGAGCTTAGTTTTACGCCGCTTTTAGCATTATTCCCGTAATATGACGTCGAGGGACACCAGAAATGGGCTTCACATATTGTACCCATGTGGGGAATCGAACCCGGGTCTTCGGTGTGGCGGTCAAATGCTTTAGCCACTAGGCTACCCTTCCGCCCCTGTGACGACTAAGAACCTACACCGAAACGTCGAATCATAATATGATAAAGAAGCTGTCATCGATAAGTATCTTATATTCTTATAATATTTCCTCCCTGAGACGGGCGGTGGGGTAGCCAAGCTAAGGGTTAAAGCGACCGCTCGTCACGATGAGGCCCAGGTTCGATTAACCACATGGGCTCTGTGTGAAGCCCATTTTTGCTGTCCCCAGCCTCAATATTGCTGCAATATTGCTAAAAGCGGCGTAAAACCATACTCACTCACACACTCCTCCCTGAGAACAATGACATGGAGAGAGACAGGAGCCACCCGAGATATATCCCAACAGCTTCCCAGGTTATATATCCCAACAGCTTCCCAGGTTAGCTATCTGACGGCATCCACTCACGGGAATAATCCATCCATCCAACAAAAGGTTTATTCTACCAGCTGTCTTTCTTATGGTGAAGATTTACTACACTCGCTGATACAGTTGTCAAACACGGCTACTAAAAACATCTATTTTCATACAAAGGCCTTGAACTGGAAGCATTCTGTCACGGTTGCGGTTCCGTATTTTCTATCACTTTTTATTATGCTACGTGACTGGATTATAAGACCGTGTGCCTTATAGTTTTGTACATGTAAACCTAGTTATTGAACTGAAACAGAAAAGTAATATCTCGAATTTTCAGCATATAACACTGAATTCTCAGCGTATGATTTTAACATGTGGTTCTTCAATACACAAACATTATTTTTAATTAAACCACTTAAGTCACAGTTAGGGTACAGCGTTCTGCAACAAGGCTGGGTGGGGGTGGAGAAGGACTGGGGGGTACATTCAAGGTACAAAGATACCACTATATATGTGATTCCATAAACAATTTGCGTTTGTTAATCCCAGATAGACGATATTTCAATTTTGTTTTAAACACGTGGCCAAATGAGCTTACGAAACGATAACAGGGTCAGATATTGTGTCGCATCTATCCGCTATTATCTGATGATGCACCACTATGTATGTCTGTGTTACGGGATGGAAACCAGTATGATCACTGAGGTCGGAAAACAGGATTCTGTTGAAAGTTCCATCTTTGAAGTCCGTGAACTATGGCTGCTATCTTCTGCTTAGCTTTTATGCAGGTTCAGAGTACAACAGGCTCTCTTTGGCTTACATCTTAGACAAGTTTCGATTTCTTCAAATTTCGTCTCCACATCTAACTATTGCAAACACCGTTTTCCGGCTGTCTTTTCAACTAAACTACATTGCATGGTTAGAACACACATTGGGCATGAATTATTGTGCTTTATAAATTGACTATTTTTCTGTTTTACAGATTAAGATGAAAAATGCAACAGAGAGGCACAATCAGGCTGGTAAGGCTCAACTTTAGCTCAGGGCCCTTCAACACGCAGCAAAGACAGCGAATGGGACTTCTCGAACACACCATGAACTTTCCGGAGAACATGAAGACTGCCCAACACTGCAGCCTTCTGCATTACCCAGAGTGTCAAAAGGGTTTTGCTCCAGGAAGAAAACCCGGGTACTCTCCTGATCTGCGCCAAGACATCAGGAGGTACTAAACCAAGGGCACCGAGAACAATGGGGAGTCGGACGACAGTGTACTTTGGAGAAATTGCAAAGTCGAGGTCCACATATTCAACATGCTGTTTCTCAAATTTGTCTATCACACTGCTGTGAAAAGGGACAATAACATAAATAAATTAATAGGCTTTATTAGAAAAGACACGATCAGGTTTATGGGCTGGAATTCTTCTAAGGCTGTTATAGGCCTATTCCATAGAACTTTAAAGGCATGACTTTCCATGAAGCCCTAGACAGGTGCAAGGTCGTACCATGGATGGACCTCGGAGTCAAAGCTTCAGGTATGACGAAGACGGTCGTACCATGGATGGACCTCGGAGTCAAAGCTTCAGGTATGACGAAGACGGTAATAGCAACGAGCCATGCCATCATGTCAGTTAAGGTTTACTGTTTGTGCCAAAGACGGGCATCCGCTGACAAAGTGTTGGACAGTATCTGTTAATGCGTTATTATTATGTTTTACAGATTTAGATGAACAAATGAAGCAGAGAGGGTTCGGGTGACCCTGGAACAGTCCGGCTGGTAAAGCTCATCACCAGCTCAGGGCCATTATCCCCTCCACGCGCAGCCCAGATAGCGAATGGGACTTCTCCCAGGAAACACTGCCTAGTCGAATCCACCAAGAACTTTCCGGAGAATATGTGGACTCCCCAACACTGCAGCCTTCGGCATTATCCAGAGTGTTAGAAGGGCTGTGCTCCCGGTGGAGAACCTGGGCACTATTGTTTTTAGAGTGAGTGAGTTAGTTTTACACCGTTTTTAGAAATATTCCAGCAATATCAGGACGGGAGACACCAGAAATGGGCTTCACATATTGTACCCATGTGGGGAATAACCCGGGTCTTCGGCGTGATGAGCGAACGCTTTAACCACTAGGCCACCCCACCGACCCAATATTATAATTAGACGTAGTAGTAGAAGTAGTAGTAGTTGTAGTAGGAATAGTCGTAGTATTAGTAGTAGTAGACTGACTGAGTTTGGTTTTACGCCGCTTTTAGCAATATACCAGCAATATCACGGCGGGGGACACCAGAAATGGGCTTCACACATTGTGCCCATGTGAGGATTCGAACCTGGGTCTTCGGCGTGACGAGCCAACGCTTTAACCATTAGGCTACCCCACCGCCCCGAGTAGTAGAGGTAGTAATAGTAGCAGCAGTAGTAGAAGTAGCATCAGTAGTAGTAGTAGTAGCAGTAGTAGTAGTAGTAGTAGTAGTAGTAGTAGTAGTAGTAGTAGTAGTAGTAGTAGTAGTAGTAGTAGTAGTAGTAGTTTGACGCTGCTTTAGCAATATTCCATCAATATCAGGGCGGGGGATACCAGAAATGCATTTCACATATTGTACCCATGTGGGGAATCGACGACGACGAACGCTGTAACCTCTAGGTTATAACACAAATATAACACAAATATAACACAAATATAACACAAATATAACACAAATGCTCAAAACACTAAAGAAGAATCAGGAGCTAAGAATGCTTGTGTCGAGCACGTACCTTAATTAACGAGTACCTCTACTCAGTCGTGCAGACTGCTGAGATGTGTATTTCCACCAAGAAACTGACGAACTGTCGATGCGGAAACGCCGCAATGTCGCTGATACATCAAATCTCAAAGATGCCACTTACTCACACCACGATAACACTGGTGGCTACAAACCCATGGCATGGGAAGATATACATTCCAATCAAGGTTTACCATTGGATGGCGCTGAATACTCAACCAATCGGACCCGCCTGTGCGTATGTCAATCATTCTCCAAACCAGCTCGTTGTCGCATTCATGGTTGCTGAGGCGCTGAACCGGTTTTAGATGTCTAGTTTAAAAAGAAATTGCAAAGCTGCAATTTCATAGCCTATCTATATTGAATAGTGTTTACTTTCAACTTGTGCACTTGCGTGATATGTCCTACATATATTTATCGTGTTAGTTGGATGATGATGGTGATGATGATGATGGCTTGATTCACGTTATGTAAGACCTGACTGCCATAAGTTGACATCTTTTATACCGCATCACCGCCTCCGCGGTGTAGTGGTTAGAGCGTCCGCCCGGAGAGCGGAAGGTCGCGGGTTCGATCCCCGGCCATATTAAAAGACTACAATTATGATACTTGTCACTGCCTGGCGCTCGGCATTAATGGGTACAACAAGGACTGGTCGGCTCGGAGTCAGTATAATGTGTCGGAGTAGGGTATTCATGCTTCGCTGCGGCATGGTATCTCAGTGGGCTAGCACTATAAAACCAGCTTAAGTCTGGGCTAGTACAAGCCACCACACATACCCACACATGCACGTCGTCATATGAGCGAAATATTCTTAAGTACGACGTTAAACCCAATTTCACCTCACCTCACCTTTTATACTGTGTATTGCTGTGTGTGTAACAGGTGGCAGATTGATGTTCTGGGAAGCGCCCGTCCAATAACATATGATCGGATGTTCGAATCTCAGATCGAACTGATTATGTGTCTTGAAGCATCTTGTAGGTTTCAACAAAGTGCTAGAGGTGGAGACTAGAATAAATCCTGTTAGATGTTGAGGTAAGCTCACTCACTCGGCGTGACGAGCGAACGTTTTATCCACTAGGCTACCCCACCCGCAACTACTACTATCTTGTTGTATTTGTCCGTAACGTTATGGACGGCTGATAAGAATACACACATACTTCACATAACACGAAGTCTTACACCGGGATTTCAGTAAATCCACTTTGATAAATGGCAGTTACGGGCAGACAGATGTACTGCTGAGAAGGGCAAATGTACTCAGCTAGAAAGTTCCATGTCTACCCATATCTTCATTTGACAGATGGCGCCTGTCATCCATTTAGCTTCTTCCAGGTTGATATACGTCAAGGCTTAGAATGTGTGTGTTGCAACTCATCAAGTAACGAATACGAATGGGTTCTGAGTGAGTGAGTTAGATTTACACCGCTTTTAACAATATTCCAGCAATATCACGGAGGGGGACACAGAAATGGGTTTCACACATTGTACCCATGTGGAGAATCGAACCCGGGCCTTCGGCGTTACGAGCGAACGCTTTAACCACTAGGCTACCCACCATACCAAACGAATAAGAAGGAACGTATCTGACCATGACCATTACAATACGTTTCTTGTGCAGCGCGTGCCTCGTCACATTCTGCAGGTGCATCACGTTGAGGTTAACACATCAGCTTTTTGAAGAGATCGGGCGGCGGGGTAGCCTAGTGGTTAAAGCGTTCGCTCGTCACGCCGAAGACCCGAGTTCGATTCCCCACATGGGTACAACGTGTGAAGACTATTTCTGGCGTGGCCCGCCGGGATGTTGCTGGAACATTGCTAAAACCGGCGTAAAACCATACTCTCTCACTCATTGAAGAGACAGCGCAATGCACATCTGTTTCATCCAGCTTATTTTCCTGATGCCTTCACTTGTGCCGGATTTGCCCCATTACTTTCTGTGTTGAGTATAACAGATGTGTTTGTTTTAGTTGGAATCGTACCGATTGCCGTCAGTGTCGGACTGAAAATCACAGACCTACGGAAATAGTCGGTATTAATGCACACACTCCATGACAATTTGCAATGCCTAGTTAATGTTTGTTTGAGTGAGAACGGACCAAGTCAGGGAGAAATAGTTCTCACTTTGGTCTAGGTTTTGGAGGTGAGGTGAGGTGAAATTGTGTTTAACGTCGCGCTAGAGAATATTCCGCTCATATGACGACGTGCATGCGTGTGTATGTGTATGTGCGGATGCTTGTACTAGCCCAGACTGAAGCTGGTTTTATAGTGCTAGCCCACTGAGATACCATGCCGCAGTGAGGCATGAATACCCCACTCAGACATATACTGACTCTGAGCCGACCAGTCCTTGTTGTACCCATTAATGCCGAGCGCCAGGCAGGGACCAACAAGTACCATATTTTAACGTCTTTTGGTATGACGCGGTCGGGGATCGAACCCGCGACCTTCCTCACTCCGGGCGGACACTCTAACCACTACACCACGGAGGCGGTCAGTTTTTGGAGGGGGCGGTATCACAGTCTAATGGCTAAAGTTAATTCACTCACTCATTCACTCGGGCGGTGGGATAGCCAAGTGGTTAAAGCGTTCTTTCGTCATGCCAAAGGGTATGTGTGAATTGCTGGAATATTGCTAAAAGCGGCGTAAAGCTTAACTCACCCACTCACTCATTCACTCCCCCCACTCACTATATTTGGATGGCTAATATCCTATATTACGAATAAAGATTGTATTGAGTCAGCCTTGTCCTTACGAGTTTATTAACTAAACATATACTTTGACTTTGAGTGAGTGAGTATGGCTTTATGCCGCTTTTAGCAATATTCCTGCAATATCACGATGGGGGGCACCCTCAACACAGTTTCACAGCTGCAAAGGTGATGGTGATGATGATGATACCACCCATAGCTATTGTGCTGCTCTGTACATTTTTCCCATACCAATTGTTATATAACTCTGTTTTTTAAATAGTGTTGACAATGTTGCTCACTGTTTTTAAATTGTAGAACATTTATCAATGTTAAAACCACATAGAAACTTGCATAACAGACATCTGTGTGAAACGTGTGATCGCGCGTAGCCTACTTCTTTTATATAACATCGTCATGTTTCTCACTAACATATTATATTGCCCAAAAATGGAAAACCAGTATGGTGCTTGTTTATGTATGTGTGCCTGTATAATTGACACCCACTGTGTGTTTGGTTATCTAACAAACGTTCCACGTCACTGCACACATAATAAAATAGACAAACAGTGGGTTTATTTGTAGTCAAATGTTATGTAAAATATTTACATAACGTTCTGATTGTATTACAGATTTCAAAATTGTGTTACATAATTTTGGCGATTTTATTTACATTTCTTCTCCGCTCTCTTGTTCTGTGAAGATGTTGAGCTAAAATTTCTCACCGAAATACCAAAATATATAGTAAGCATAAAATGCCGTAGTCAAAGGTGCTGAAACGTGACTGTGCCAAATAAATAGGGCTCGCAAAAGTTGGCAATCAAAAAGGCTGGTACAGACAGATGGAATGATGAGATCCACATGGTACAGGCAGGTAGACATATTGTGATCCATGTGGTAAAGGCAGATGGACATAATGTGATCCATATGGTACAGGCAGGTGGACATAATGTGATCTATATGGTACAGGCAGGTCGACATAATGTGATCCATATCGTGCAGGCAGGTCAACATAATGTGATCCATATGGTGCAGGCAGGTCGACATAATGTGATCTATATGGTGCAGGCAGGTCGACATAAAGTGATCCATATGGTTCAGGCAGGTGGACATAATGTGATCTATATGGTACAGGCAGGTGGACATATTGTGATCCATATGGTAAAGGCAGTTGGACATAATGTGATCCATATGGTGCAGGCAGGTCGACATAATGTGATCTATATGGTGCAGGCAGGTCGACATAATCCGATCTATATGGTACAGGTCAACGTATACGAGCAAATGACACCCCGGACTACTTCCATAAGGGTGATGGATTATTGTTATTTTCACGACCCTCTCAAGGTGAGCACATGCGTTGTTATCGAAAAGATGAAACGCTGCCCAATATGTGGTGCAAATAGCAACACGAGTGGTTAAATCACGCTGTCACGATAGAATTAAGCCTCCATAAACCTCGGCTTATGGTATCGAGTTATAAATATTTAATTCTACCAGGAGCTAGAGTTTTAGTTACTGGTACTGGTCCGATAACGGAAGGTGGGTACCAGTATTCACCAGATAACGGAGGATGGGTACCGGTATTGACTAGATAACGGATGATGGGTACCAGTATTAATCAGATAACGGAGGATGGGTACCGGTATTGACCAGATAAGGCAAGATGGGTACCAGTATTGACTAGATAACGGAGGATGTGACGCATTGACCAGATGACGGAGGATGTGATGTATTGACCAGATAACGGAGGATGTGATATATTGACCAGATGACGGAGGATGCGATATATTGACCAGATGACGGAGGATGTGATGTATTGACCAGATAACGGAGGAGGTGATGTATTGACCAGATAACGGAGGATGTGATGTATTGACCAGATAACAGAGTGTGTGACGCATTGACCAGATAACGGACGATGTGATGTATTGACCAGATAACGGAGGATGTGATGTATTGACCAGAGAACGGAGGGTGTGATGTATTGACCAGATGACGGAGGATGTGATGTATTGACCAGATGACGGAGGATGTGATGTATTGACCAGATGACGGAGGGTGTGATGTATTGACCAGATAACGGAGGATGTGATGTATTGACCAGATGACGGAGGATGTGATATATTGACCAGATGACGGAGGATGTGATGTATTGACCAGATGACGGAGGGCGTGATGTATTGACCATATGACGGAGTGTGTAATGTGTAGACCATGTGACGGAGGGAATGACGTATTGACCAGATGACGGAGGGTGTGATGTATTGACCAGATGACGGAGGGTGTGATGTATTGACCAGATGACGGAGGATGTGATGTATTGACCAGATGACGGAGGATGTGATGTATTGATCAGATGACGGAGGATGTGATGTATTGATCAGATGACGGAGGGTGTGAAGCATTGATCAGAGAACGGAGGATGTGATGTATTGTACAGATGACGGAGGATGTGATGTATTGACCAGATGACGGAGGGTGTGATGTATTGACCAGGTGACGGAGGATGTGATATATTGATCAGATGACGGAGGATGTGAACCATTGATCAGATAACGGTGGATGTGATGTATTGACCAGATGACGGAGGATGTGATGTATTGATCAGATGACGGGGATGTTATGTGTTGACCAGATGACGGAGGATGTGATATATTGATCTGATGACGGAGGATGTGAACCATTGATCAGATAACGGTGGATGTGATGTATTGACCAGATGACGGAGGATATGATGTTTTGACCAGATAACGGATGATGTGGACTTATTTATCAGATAGCGGAGGGTGTAATGTATTGATCAAATAACGGAAGATGTGATGTTTTGATCAGATGACAGAGAATGTGGTGTATTGATCAGATGACAGATGAGTATGTGGTGTGTTTATCAGATTACGGAGGATGTGATGTATTGACCAGATAGCGGAGTATGTGATGTATTGACCAGATGACGGAGGATGTGATGTATTGACCAGATGACGGAGGAGGTGATGTATTGACCAGATAACGGAGGATGTGATGTATTGACCAGATGACGGAGGATGTGATGTATTGACCAGATGACGGAGGATGTGATGTATTGACCAGATAACGGAGGATGTGATGTATTGACCAGATGACGGAGGGTGTGATGTATTTAGCAGATGACGGAGGAGGTGATGTATTGTGCAGATGACGGAGGAGGTGATGTATTGACCAGATGACGGAGGATGTGATGTATTGACCAGATGACGGAGGATGTGATGTATTGACCAGATGACGGAGGATGTGATGTATTGACCAGATGACAGAGGATGTGATGTATTGACCAGATGACGGAGGATGTGATGTATTGATCAGATAATGGAGGATGTGATGTATTGACCAGATGACGGAGTATGTGATGTATTGACCAGATGACGGAGGATGTGATGTATTGACCAGATAACGGAGGATGTGATGTATTGACCAGATGACGGAGGATGTGATGTATTGACCAGATGACGGAGGATGTGATGTATTGACCAGATGACGCAGGGAGGTGATGTATTGACCAGATGACGGAGGATGTGATGTATTGACCAGATAACGGAGGAGGTGATGTTTTACCAGATGACAGAGGAGGTGATGTATTGACCAGATGACGGAGGATGTGATGTATTGATCAGATAATGGAGGATGTGATGTATTGACCAGATGACGGAGGATGTGATGTATTGACCAGATAACGGAGGGTGTGATGTATTGACCAGATAACGGAGGATGTTATGTATTGACCAGATAACGGAGGATGTGACGTTTTGACCAGATAACGGATGATGTGATGTGTTTTCCAGACAACGGAGGGTATGATGTATTGACCAGATAACGGAGGATGTGATGTGTTTTCCAGATAACGGAGTATTGGTACCAGGGTGGACCAGATAACGGAGTATTGGTACCAGTATTGGCCAAATATCGGATGATGGTACGGGCACTGACTAGATATCTGTGGATGGGTACCGGTACAAACCATACATATGTCTAGGGTTATAACACAATGCCCTTTGGGTTCCATTCTCCTGAAAGCCATTTTTCAATTCAAAGTTACACTTTTTTACCACTGGTATCCCTCATTAACACTGATTACCTCGTGACGGCCATTTTGAAAATGCCATAAGGCATGATAGCAATATATTTAGACTCCCTGTGAGGTGAGCTTTCATTTGATATATCGCATGGCATAATTATTGACAAAATGATTTTGCGATCATCTTGAAATTGGCGGCCATTTTGAAAAAGCCACGAGGTTGAATTTGCAGAACCTTGTATTTTGCACATGGCAATGATGTTCTGAAGCTATCCTGAAAAAAATCAGCTTTTCACTATTTTTTTGCAATGTTACCTATTGTTTGTGTCTAATGCTCCTGGCTTACTAGTCGATCCTGGTTGCTTGTAGTAAGGGGCGACTAACGAGATGGTGTGGTCAGGCTAGCTGATGTGGTTGTATCCCAACAGCATAGCATCCCAAATGTTAAGAAAGTAAGAAAGTTTATGGATAACAACTTCTTTATTATATATGATGCGACGTTTCGGTATGGATTCTTATACCGCTGTCAAGCAAGAGTGAAGTACTACAGCACAGAACAGACTTATATACATGAACAGGGATTAAGTAATAACAACATGTAGGACTGAATAAGGGGATTAACAATAACAACAAGGCACGGTGGCAATAATGTAGTGACAATAGGAAGCCAGTGGTGGTGGAGGTAAAACAAAATATACATGCTGATGAGATTAATTAACAATGATGGCTGAGGTGCTCTAATCTGTTGTTTTATGAGATCATTGTATGCAGAAGGGATGAGATATCCCTGGTCTCTGTTGATTGAGGGTTTGTGTCTCCGGATTTGAACTGCTTCTGCAAGTTTCCTTCCTTTGGTGAAGTCCTGGTGGTTTTTGGATAATATCTCCACATTGTCCCAAATTATGTTGTGATTGGGGCAGTTGATGATGTGGTCTGATATTGCTGATTTTCTATCAGATTTAGTGGTAGATGATAAGTGTTCTTTGATTCTAATATTTATGGGCCGGGAGGTTTCGCCTACATAGGCCTCGCCACAGTCACAGTTGATTTTATAGACAACACCTTTGGGTTGATGTTGTCGTTTAGAGGTGTTCCTGCCATTCGCTTTCAGTAGGGTTTTTAGTGGTGTAGAGCTGGTAAAGTAGGTTTCGATGCCTGCTCAGACCACATCATCAACTGCCCCAATCACAACATAATTTGGGACAATGTGGAGATATTATCCAAAAACCACCAGGACTTCACCAAAAGGAAACTTGCAGAAGCAGTTCAAATCCGGAGACACAAACCCTCAATCAACAGAGACCAGGGATATCTCATCCCTTCTGCATACAATGATCTCATAAAAACAACAGATTAGAGCACCTCAGCCATCATTGTTAATTAATCTCATCAGCATGTATATTTTGTTTTTTACCTCCACCACCATTGGCTTCCTATTGTCACTACATTATTGCCACCGTGCCTTGTTGTTATTGTTAATCCCCTCATTCAGTCCTACATGTTGTTATTACTTAATCCCTGTTCATGTATATAAGTCTGTTCTGTGCTGTAGTACTTCACTCTTGCTTGACAACGGTATAAGAATCCATACCGAAACGTCGCATCATATATAATAAAGAAGTTGTTATCCATAAAATTTCTTACTTTTCTTATTAGTCACCAACTTCTAAATGCCAATCAAACAGATCATCGCAAATGTTGATGATTATCTGGTCCCCATTTGATTAAT